GAAAGTACCACAAAATGATATTCGTATTTTGTATGTCTGACAGAGACGAGATTTTTACATGATACAGGAAAATCTGAGATTTTCAGTAAATTTACTCCATAAGCTGACCTGTGTACAAGGTATGATACATATGTATATGTACAATGTCAGGGGGGCGGTAAACAAACCAGGCATGTAAATTCCTGTACTAGCATCTTGAAACACGTCATTCCAGTAAGAGTGTCTACCTGAACAATTTCATCTATGTTAAGGACGGACAAGTTAAAGCACTTTTATAAACCAGAAAAAAATCGACAGCAAGCCAATAGTATACTAGTATGTAGGGTATTGAATACGAACCTCTCTGTGTGAGACTAACCACATGGTTGTCGTGCGTCACGATGGAAAGATTGTGGAGCGTGCGTCTTGATAAAAAAGATTTGATATGTAGTTTTTTTTTGTTTAATCTTAAAAATATCAATAATGATCTAAATATGCGTACATGTATGTTTGAATATTGAGATGGTATCAGTCTTCGCGTATAGGAAACAAATCTTTATACAGTTTTGTAGTAATTAGCTGAGCTTTCTATAGAACGTTGCCTTCACGACTTTGATCTGATGTATGATTTTCGTGATATCCTTAATTCCCTAAAATCTTTTAATGGAAGATAAGGGCTTTCCCACGTTGATGAAATAGTTCTTTTGGTGTAAACGAAATATGTGTTTAGTCCATTTTAATTGATTATGACGAAAAATATATTACTTCCAGAATTGTTTATTGGTGTGTTCCCTCGAAATAATCCTGGTGGTGCATGAATATATTAAAAACCACAGCGTCAATCAGATTGACATATTTATGACGACATACATTAAGATCGATAAATATATATGCTAATTGTATTGATTGTATAAGTTGTATACCTATGTACTACAAAGCTCTTTAGAGTGGCTTATTCTAGCTAGATAGGGCGCTATGTCAAATGTTGTATATTATTCTTATTAAGATAATTTTAAAACAAGTAAACACTATTTGAAATAATAGATAACTTTGAAAATGAAAACCTTCTTGCCTGATTAAGTTTTAGATCCATTACCGTGCTTTAACAAAATCTAGCACAATAATGGTACATGTACCGACGATGTTTGTTAATGGATAACAGCACAAACTCGTCATGACGCCTGGAACATAACAGCACGCAACACTCTAAAACGTCACCGGCACCATCTGCTGTGATAGGTAATCAATGAACCTCAAACACGGGGATGATTCGAGTAACGTGATATGTATGCCCTTCTTTTAAATGGCAATCCACAAACTACATTTGTCACCCTGCTGTTGGCAGCGTAAAGGTTACTTGATTCGTGTAATTATAAAAGATTCCAATAGGACAATTAATGGATTTTAGTCCCCAGATATTTGAAACATATTCAGCTACAGTAATTAAGGTATTCGTATAATGCCAAAGAAATGGAATAACCCATTTAAAGTTAACTTTAATGTGACTGGATCGATGCTCCCTTTCTGTTGCTTGATGTCAAAGCATGATAAATGACGCTCGGCCTACACTCTAAAGTTATTCTCGGTAACTTATCAAACATCTGAAATTAGGATATAATCCCTCAATTTGATAGGAATAGCTATTTGATGTGCTTAATTTCCTAGTGTGTAGAGAAGTCACGAACAGTTACCCGGGAACTGTGGGTGGTGAGTTCAGGACCTGGTGTCTAAAGCATTGTCATCTTATTTGGGAAATCATCCAAATTTTGAAAATGTGTTTTCTTGTTTAATTAGTAGTCTTACGATCGTTATTTGTTCTCTAGTAGCCATTTCTCATCCCCTCACGTGCATCTAATATGAATTTAATGGTTACTGTAAAAAGAATCCATAATGATTAATTTGTTTACAAAAACATTCAGCTAACCGAACGTTGTAGATTTAAATACAGATGGGAGAGTTTAGACTGTAGAATGGTGAATCATGACGTGTAAGTCCATGACTCCTAAATGTCCGTGTAAAGGTCAAACCGAGTGGAAAACCCACAGAATCGGTCTGTGGTCGGTATGTCCTTGGGGTAAATCCATAATGATCGAATCGATTTACGCATCATCACTGACCTAGATAACCTCGACGCTATCTCGCAGACAGCTTGATGCTGATGTTGATTTCATGTGTTTTGCTTGTTATTATTTTGTATATGATAACGATAGTAGCGTCTTGTTTGTATAACTCTTTAATCGAGGTTTTACGTGATGTGAAACTAGCCTAATGTTGGAATTATCCTGAACATAGAATTTTCCACGAGAACGATACATCGACACATCCGTCCACAGTTGGTGATTCCGAACTGCGCACGTAACATTAGCGCCTGGTTTTATCTTGTTGTTCGCGACACTGCTCTAGAAGTAATTCTGCTAATGACAAATCATTGCTGCTGATGTCCAATATTTGACAAACACAGGATATACAGTTACATAATTAATACACGTTTTTCAACTCATCCCTTTATGAATCATTTATACATACATGTATAATAACCAAGACAGTAGCCGCCCAGACTTCCTACACATTTGAGGACTATTACAGAAATATCATGGCAATCCTTCTATTGTTTATTGATGCGTTTTCGAGAGACACAGTATATAAGATAATAAATTCATCATTGATTTAGTCTGTAGCTGTACAGATCACTATTTTATACAACTAGGGAATCACATATTCCGTCTTTTCGTATTGCAGAGTTAGCTGCTCTTGTGAGCAGGTATTGATTGTTACGTCATTGGTTTGTGAGAGAAACGTCATCAATTTTTGAGAAAACGACATAATTTTCTCACACAAACCAATGACGTAACAGTCAATACCTGCTCACAAGAGAAGATAACTCCGCAATACGCAAAGACGGAATATGCAGATATGTACTGATGCACTATTTAGAGTATTGTTCATCTCTTTCCCCGCTACTTACATTATCTTATATTTCTCACAATAACATATGATACATAAAACACCCCGGTTGAGTATACTTTCCCTTGTAAGCATTAGGTGATATATAAAATCCATTGTCATTGGGTAAAAACATTGTAGTCACTGCATTGTCTCAGTTGAAACATTATTGTTATATTCATTTAAGCAATCGTTTTTGAACTAACGGAAATTAATTTATATAGCGTTTATGTACCTCAATAATGGGTTTTGCAAAAGTGTACATCCCTACAATTCGTGATGCTATCGTAAAATCAAAAAAAAAAAATGTCTAACAACGCGCAACCGTATTTTACCACTAGGACCGATTATAGCTGACACGAATTACGTGCAACCCGATATAGAACATGGACATCGGTACATTATTTCACTGAATCGTTAGTAAAAACAAAGATAAAACGTATTGCTTAACATACTAAGAAAAAAATCCTTGATTTTACAGAAGATGTATCGTACAATGGTAATAAGGTAAAATGTCATATCAAAAGTTATTCATATAGGTTTTTCAAATAAGGTTTCTAAAGTATAACGGTAACGAAAAGCAGAAAAGATGCAAATAGAACAGAGTTTTCGTTCTTTGTGGAAGGAGTGTGTTGGATGGGGTTTATGAGTAAGTTTATGTTTGGTACATGTATATCTGAGTCTATATATGGTATAACTGAGTTAAGATTCTTTTGTGAAGAATTAACAAAATCTGAACTCAGTTACACCATATATAGACTCGGATACATGCACCCGTTTACCTAGGTATGGATCTGCAAAAAAACATAATGGAAAATACGTACTTAATATAAAACAAACTAGTACAGCAATATCAAACACAAAATAATTGGATCATCATGACGGTAAGTCTATGACGACCTGGATGTATGTAAGGCAAACACGTTTCCGCCCCAGTCCATTCAAGTATACGTTCAGTACTAAAGGATGACGGCAAACAAGATACTGCACTTGAAAAACAATTCACTTGCCTTCACACTAGGAAAACACACTTAAGATAACAAGTGCGAACCGGAGTCCATGATCATCTTGTAAAAAAAGATAATATTGCTTCAAGTTAGAAATATCAGGGTCACCGATGCAGTTTCGTGTATGACACATTTCGTTAGATCAGGAAAAACAAATGTTTCGACATAATTCTTCAGCATTTTGTATTTTGACATTTACCTACAGAATGATAATGATGACTACATTGTGTACCATATGGCAAATTTGAGTCTCCTAATTTTATGATAATTTCTTCTCCTCTGTCGTAACATCCCTCCCTCCCTTGGTGATGAAGTTGATTCATTACTCCAGATCCTGTGGTGAAGCTCTAATTATCAGGTTCTCAGGGCGATGTGTCACTTAATCAGCCTACATTTTCTATCTGAAAAGCTTCAAGCTTTGTTAAATACATTTTATGGTCAACATGACCTGGTTTAAAACGATGAAAAGTCATGTCCACTGTGCAATAGCTTTTGTGCAATCTATATAATGTCCTGTATTTGACCAAAAAAAATGATGCCGGGTTCCACATTCGTAGCAGGAAACTGGGCCTGGTTCTACTTTCGTCTTTGTATAGGGACATGGTGCTTTTCTTTTGTTTTTCGTGCTTATTTAGATCTTGTAGTTTCCTATACTTATTGACTTTACGTTCTTATTTTGGCATTGACGCTGTGTTGTTATTTTTACTTTTCTTTTCTTTTCAATTATTGCAAAAGTTACAATACAAGAGTTCCTCAAGAAGGATTGAATCTTTTATGTCATATTGAAATGACCGAATAAAGACAAATATTTTACCTTCATTTCTTGAATATTAATATAAGAATTATGTTTTCAAGTGTCTATGGAGAATATAAATCATTTTACCTGATACATTTTTTGAAGAGAACCGGGGTGGGGCTAATTTTAAACATTAATCAGTCATCAACTATAGGTTCTCCTTCAATCGAACAAAAGAAAGGCGCTCCAATGCACATGTTCTTTGCAATCAATATTACAATTTTTTCGCATGTCTTTTGCGATGTATAAGTAAATATTTCTCTTTGTTTAAACAGGTACTATGGATCGGTCCGTCAGGCAATCTATTGACGATGAACGAAATCACGAGAACGTCAGACAAAAGAATAAGTCTGCGCAGTCCGTACGAGGACGATTGGAACCTGCGAATTGAGCAGGTCAAGTACAGCGATCGGGGGGACTACAAGTGTAAACTGGCGACCAGCCCGGTACAGATCAAGGTGGCAACGCTTAATGTATTACGTAAGTAATCCTATCATGTTCAGCTGGACATATCGTGACGAGTCCCATGTTGTATAAGTGTTTACCTCTTGCATCTTTGTCTGTTTGACTATTGACATTACAGTTCGGTTTTAATATATAACTATAATAACAAACAACATTTGATATAATGCCCTATCTAGTTAAATTAAGCCACTCTAAAGCTCTTTACAGTACATAGATATACAATTTTATCCAATCAATACAATTTGAGGAATTCACACGAGCTGCCTCCTCAGGAGCTAACTTCTAGTCCTATGCCACCTGGCTAATATCTCCCTATGTGTGGATGCCTGCGTGTGTGCTGGAGATGAATTGTGTTCTGTTTGTAGTGGAACCATGCTTCCAATAGTATCATTTATAGTGCCACCTCACGTGAATGCTACAGCACAGATACCGCAACATCCACCCCAGACCATTTTATACTCCACCTGGGTTGTTTGGGGTTTTGCAATTCTATATTGAACCTTCGTTATGGTATCTTTGACACCTTCCTATACGTATTACGGTGTTATTGACATTTTCGCGACAATAAATATTTTCTAACAGATGATCTTTACCACAGAAACAAATCCTGTTCAGTGCTGTTAGTTTCTGTTACCCATAACAGCAATCTTACTGACATAAAATCAACAAGTTTCGTCAGAGCCAACAAACTAATTAAATGAATTAATTGCAAGATAGGCACTTCTGTTTTTAATATAAGAAATCAATTTTGATACGTCTAAAGAATGTCTTTATCAAACAGTAAAAGGTAACTATCATTAACGATTTATCGTATTTGCTTAAAACACAAAAGCCATAAATCCCAGCTGTGATGAAACCTTTGGGAGTTCTCTATCAGTGATACACGTACAGTATTAAATAGTGTATGTAGAATGCCGTACTGCGGAATCAGCTAATAACTCGATTTGATTACATGCCAAATAACCACAACCCTCTAGTCTAAACCCCTATCGCTGACAACGTTAATTGGTGTTTGATTGCATCAAGTGGCGAAATAAAGTGTTTCAGCATTCTAGATTAAATGACATCGTTACGCCCTTTAGATAACGGACGAAATAGAATAAAAAAGGACTTAGACATTTGATTTTTTTAAAATATTTTGTCTCGACAATGTACATGTTACAAAACAGTCTTCGACTATAACACATCGATTTTTTCACTAAATTCGCCGTTACATTAGAAACTGCTATATTCTAATTCCTTACCTCGTTTTCACCAAACAGCTTACACGTAGGCGGAGCTCCGTTGACCTTGACTTTTCGTGTGATGTGTACATGTTGCTTTTGCATAGTAACTTTTCATATTAAAAAAAAAAAAAAATGACAGGCCTTCATGAAATAGTTGTTAATAGTCATCACCGAAAATTGTGTCGTATTTTAGGTAAGAGCAAATTTCGTATTCCCTTGCAGAGGCAGGTCAAGAAACTAATGCCTCGTTTCTATCCTATTTATTAATTGATAGAGGTTACATGTATGATGAATATTCTTTCCTTGCTCATCATAAAAAAAAACATTATTATGGGTTGGTCATTAAGCATTAAATTATAGATAAAAAGAAATATCTTTCTTGACAATTTACGGGCTGTTGTGATATTTCAATATATATATGTACATGTATACCTAATGTATAAAAAAAAAATCAAATAATGAGCTGATATTCTCGTGAATTCAAATATATGTAAATCAAACTAGAGACCAGATCTACACCGATACGATCAGTTTTATTTTAGAACGATTTGCTGACAGATCGAGCAGCAATATCCTTTCTTAACGAGGTTATGAAAAGACGTGGATATCGAAATCCAAAAACTTTCAATTTAACACCGTGACAGCATTTCCAATTGTTTTCACGACGAAAATTAGGCTGGCGATCTAAGAAAAAAACAGTAACTTATAGGCTTAATTTGGAATTATCGAATTTTCAGCGAGGTCCGCCGCCATGATATGACGCGTTTGCAGCTGTTGTTCTTCCCGTTATATATAAATAAACGAATTACACTGTTCCACAATATGTCTGGACCATTAACAAGCCGCGGTGCATCACTATTTTAACATCAGTTTATATGGATGCTCAAGATTACCCGACTGGAATTCTGCTTGTCCTTGCTCGTCTAGTGCAACCGTGAACAAGGGCGGTAACTCTAGTTTACCATTAATGACCGACTAGGACCATTCGCACACCACAAAATGCTATTTGCCACTGATAATGTGACTGATGCATAGAAAAGAAATCTAATTAAACAACAAGAATGAATAATTAAACATGCAATATTGCTGTTTTGATATCATTTTATAAGTTATAACTATAAATGGCATATTGATCAAATTTGTTTCAGTATCGCCAAAAATTTTGACGGAGTACTCCAGCAGGGATATGGTAGTTCGGGAGGGTTCGGACCTTGACCTGGTGTGTAATGCTACCGGTGTTCCGCTTCCAGACATCACGTGGTACCGAAAACAAAAGGACACGCCGAATGCTAAAACACGTAAGATGAAATGAATTATGTACGCTACATGTACGTCATGAAGATTAAAGTTAAATGTATTTTTCTGTTTACTTTAAACAATTTCCAAGGAGGAGAACCAGCTCTTGAATTGAGAACAATAAGTTTGTTATTGTGTGTTTAGGTGATTGGTCCCACTCACCTTTATCTCCATAACACAGCATGTTCTACTTGTTATGCTTAGTAGTGTGTTTTGTGGTCTTGATGTCACTCCTAAATTTACTTAGTTAGTATTGTCGATGAATCAGAAGATGCTGACTTTCCCGTACCATTCATATTTATGTTCCGTGTACTTTTCAAAGGCCTCCCAGTAAATCGTCCAATTCTTCATCTTTTGCCCTACATTACGTAGTCTCGTCAAATCTAGGTTGGTATAACGGTTTTGTTAACACCTTGGTATTACCGTGTTGTTTTATATAAATGGTCAATAACACCGATTTTAGATAAATGATAACGTTTGTCTGTAGATTTAAGCTGCACTGGGTTCCCATGTGTCGATATTTTACTTGCTGTCACTCTTCGATCAGGTCTTGTTTCGCTTCAGCTACATATACGAAACGAACTATAAATAGATGGCAAAAGTGTGTGAATCCTAGCATTGATCACGCTGAACTTTTAATTTTAAAGAAGCCTACTTTTAACATTGACTGATATTGCCAATTTTCCGGCTCAAAACGGAGATATATTGGAGTCATGTTTTAGCTGATAGGGAAGATCGATCCTCCTAGTATTGTGATGAAAACGGTTACCGTACTTACATCTATATAAATACGGATGATGCATAGTAAACGGACCACTATGAACATTAATAGGTCATAGTTTGCAACAAACGATAAGAAATCAATGGATTCCTTATTTTGAATTTTTCGTTTGAAATTATTACCAGTCTGCTGTAATTTGTATTTCGAATATCTAATGCGAATGAAGAACCACTTCAAAACTGAACTAAATACACATTAAATCTTCAAAGACCTATGGTGGCTTGAAGCTTATCTTAAACCAACATTGAAGCTGAAGTAAACGACTAATGTCACCTAGTTTGACATTTAAACATTATGGATAGCTCTTGAATTCTCATTTGGAAGACGAATTACCGTCACGGCGTATGTTTACCGTTTTGGATACCATTACTGCTAGCCGTGCACATTCAATCCGAGAAGATTAATCGCTCAGGCTTCTTTAACTTACTTAGGAGCTGGTAATCTCTCGGTACTGAATCATGCTGTGCGCTTTGCTGGCATCGACACAACCAATAGATCTAGTTCCATAAGTTATATGGCTACTTCAGACGGACTCGAACTTTAAAATGCAACAGACGTCGTCTTGGACAAGTCTTCTTTGTGATATATGGAAGGATTTCAGGCAAACTCATCGTCTAGGCGATATCTATAGATTCATTTAGCTTCAATCACTCCTCCGACAAGGCATTGCGATACTAATTATATCTATACATACATATTTTCAATATTGCCCTCGACATCATAAGTAAATTAAAAAGGTACGAGTCTGGTCTGACATGACTAGGACGTTAGGCAAAACACAGACAAACTAATGTGTCTCAAGTTTAGCGAATTTAAGTCCGATTATAACGATTCAGTTTCAATGAACAGAACAATGCTATCAACTCATTAAGCAAAAGGTAATACAGTAGTTGGTGTTCCATTTGCTACATTAAAATATTATCATCTTTCTGGTTCCATTAAAGTGATGTGCAACCAAAAATGTTCCGGATGATAGGACGTCATTTTTTCCAATTTTTCTAGGGTTCAGACAGCATTTTTGGTAAAGTATGTCAGGTTAATGATAAATTAGAAATTGATTACATTGTACAGTAACACATTTTTTGGTGAAATAATGTACTCTTCTTTCAATACTACAAATAATTTTCCATTGATTTTAACGTCAATGATATGTTAGTCATAAAAGGTATATAACATTATTGGTATGGATTAGTATTACATTTTTGATATTGTAACGTAGGGCCTACTTACATTGATTAAAAATCTATGCGTTCAGATTGCTTGAAATACGCTTGATATACGAAGATATGAAGCACCTACCTTAATAAGTTGATAGAGAAAATCGAACGAAGTAAACAATTTTATATTCCGTTAAGCTATTTGGCTCTTAGTTGTTCTTGTCAATGGTAGATGTAGGATTAATATTTAATATTTCCGAAACTTAATGTGGAAATACATTTTTAAAAAAGGAAAAAATCATTTTAAACGTTCTTTAACATTATGTGTGACTACAACATATTTTCTAAGCTAGTAAATTTTGTAAACTGTGTCAGACCGTCAACATAGGACCACTTATATTCATTTGTTTTGGCGAGTAATGTAAGACTACTTTTGTTTTGTTTGGGAGCTATTGGGCTTTCTGGTAATCTAGATTTACTTTTTGTGTAGCAATGCATTAATTGTACATTTCAGATTTGGGAACAGGAAACAAAGATCAGCTGTTGATATCTAACATCACACGTGACGAGGCGGGAATCTACGAATGTGTCGCGCGCAATGACGTCGAACCATCAGATACGATTTCTATCAAAGTTGATGTACAATGTAAGTTTCCGCCACAGTAACGTTCAACACACGAAGCCTATTTTGTATATGACTTTATCAAATATGTGCTTAGATAATGTGTATTGTTACTGACATTTGATTTCCTGATCCATTGTGGTCAATGTGTATCGATATGTAAGTGTCTATTATATTACCCAACTGAACGTATCACGTTTTGTACAAACATATTCATTGTATTAGATAGTCACCTGATCTGCACCTGAAGATCTAATACAGGGAAAACGTTTGTGCAAAATATAGCGTCTTCTTTTGTTAAAAACACAGGTTTTTTTTATTATTTATTTGCATTTTGTCGATTTTAGTATTTTTTGTATATATATATAGAATTATACTCGTGACGTCTACTCAATGTAGATTTACATTCAATAACAGATTTCAGATTTCCCAACATAGTACATAGAAGAAGGTTACAATGTAGATTAGATAACTTTAACGAGTAATGGTATAGTGTTACAATATTTAACTCATTCCTCATGTCACGTAGTGAATGTTGACTAGTTCTATGAATATTCAACTACTTGATATTTTCAGATATCAACGATGAATCAGTTATTGCTGAATTGTCATTACACTAATGTACCGGTACTAATACTTATTAAAAGGCAAATAAACTGTTTAACCTTACCGAACCACATGTATCAATGCACTGGCATACATTTCTAACAACATCATTCTCCTTTTTACTTCTGCCAGTTGCCCCAGAAATTGATATCGGACTTGAAACACTAAGTCAGAAAGTTGGCAAAAGCACTGCCATAGAATGCAGAATCACAGGGTTCCCAATGGAGGTCGCCGTCTGGCGGTACAATGGTGTTGATATCGAGGAGAGGACGTGGAAATATGAGCCGTTCGTGTACCAGAGAGAGGAAAATAAGATACTGTTAAGTCTAGAGATAAGGGACCTGAGCCCCAGTGACTTTGGTGTTTACACGTGTTTTGCCAGTAACGTACTTGGGTCTGCTAATAAGACAACACTTTTAACAGGTAATTCTTGATTCATATATCATTACATAGATGGGTTTAAATATCTTAGATTATCGTTCATTTCAACCACCAACCAGATTTATTTCTTATTAAATATCTTCATTTTATATCTATAAAATTAGTTTTCTGACCATTAATGCGTTCAGTATATACATTATTTTCCTTAAACATATCATGATTTAGCACATTTCATTTTCAAATTGATAGGAAATTAAGGTTATTTTTACATACAAAGCAACGCCGTTTTTGATACCTCTATGCCCGTCTATACTTAAGTATACAAAATTGGATGGCTACTGATTTCAGAATTGAAGGTAACTACGCCGTTGGCGCTGGAATCCAAGCCTACAACGACACCAGTTAATTTTACTACCAGTACGACACGGGGGACTACTTCCACTGTTACACCGGACCCGAACCTAACCAGTACAACGTCGAGTAGTGGCGGTATTGTGATGCCAAATACAGATTCGCCAGACGGACCTGCCTACACCTTAAATCCACCGGGAAAAGAAGGTAGTGTACATCAAAGCATTGACACTTTTTATTGATTTACTATATTATCTGTTACTAACACAAGCTAATGTGGTTCGAAAGGTAAAAAATAAGCTGCAATTTTGTAGGGATGCTATTTTTTTAATAAATAATTTGATGCATGAACATTTGAGGTCATGGCAAAGACACCATTTTCTTCAAAATCTGTTTTCCGTGAGTCCTGTACAGGGTTATACTTTATCTGTCTTCGAATTGTGTAATCTCAATACGTCTTGCATTATTTGGTATATATAATGTGTCCAATAAGATTTGATAAATCATAAAAAAAATGTTTAAATGATATGTTGATGTTGAGGGATGATAATGTATTTCAAAATACATCTTGAACATTGCGAAGCAGTGAACATGTACGTATCTTATCTATATAACTTTCTATTTGATCTTATATTTACTGTTTCAACGAGTAGCAAACAATAGGAGTTTTAACCCAGGTAATTTATACATACTCATACAAAAGTAAATTATTTATTTATTGTACCACACAACTGAAAGTACTGTAACATGTATTCACTATTTTTTTTGTAATCAACTGATATTATGTAGTTATATTTGATTTCATCATCACGCTCCTTATATTGTCTTAAACATAGATTGTTATCGTTTTCCCGTCTGCGTGTTGTAACTTACGCAATTCTTACTTTACTACTTCAGTTTAATCAAGATTTTTCTTGATGTGTTTGGTTTTTGGAATGCAAATCATAGTTAAATGATATAATTGTGCAAGAAGTATTTCACTTTTGTTTTAGGTATGAAACACATACATGTGATGCATTAATTTCACTTAACTGTATTGCTTATCTTTTCAAATATTATATGCCTGATCAGTCAATTCTAACACGATATTTTCACTATAAATTTTATGACCAAGTGTGTTGTTGAAAAGTGGGATATACGCTATATGGACCATCTTAAGTTGTTTGCCAGCGTGAAAAACTTAGAAAAGACGATTTTGTTTCGGGAGGGGGGTTAGGGGTTGCTTGCCAGGCAAAATTTTCTCCAGAAGCCGACCATATACAGTTTCCGAAGTTAGTTATTAAAACATTACGTCGATATAATTATTTACATGTATCGTGTGATCACTATAATGTGTCAAACAGACGTATTCTGGTTGATTATACAGTATCGTTCTTTGTGTCAAAGATGTACTATTTTTTGGTCGATGTTAATAAGACAGAGGACATTTCGTTGTTGATGGTTTTATTCAAATTAGAGTTTAATTTGAACGTTTTCTATTTCATTTTTCAGACCAGAATAACAGTTGCTCGACATTCCGGTACCAGAGTTGGACGTTTCTGCTTCTTGTTATTCCATATGTTACTTTTATATGACTAAAGTAAGAATTCACAAAATCTACGATACAGTAGTGTACCCGCAATAAACTCCTCTAGATCTCTGAGCTCGGGATGAACCTGTGAAAGAGCCGCGGACAGAGATTAGGGCAGTCAAATTCACGGATTCTGACGATTTTTCCTCCGTCTTTTCAACCTCGTAAAGTACCGACTCAAATGCCAATTTTCTCATGGACCTATGCCTAATGAAGAGAACGAAAACACTTGCATATTTACCATGAATTGGTCAGTGGTTGTCAATCGTCAAAACACTAATTATTATCATAACATTATGTGATATCAAGTACGTTTTTACGTGTTGTGAATAGCGCCATCGATTTGACGGTTATAATGTTAGTACGAAGCGCAGAACATGTTCGATGGTACCATTGCATTGTGGATAATTCATATTGACGGTCACATCTGCTTCAGAAAAAAATATTTATGATTTGTGAGATGACGATATACTTTATCGATGATAATCCATTTTATAACCGGATGTTTCTCGTGAACAGGGTTACGTGAACAACTAGTCATCCACTTTCATTCATTCATTCATGTACCATATGATACTCGGCATATCTTTGTCGACAGAATCACTTGACCATGCTGTATATTCTTTTGCTAACCCAAAAGATGATGTTAATCACACCTTATATTTCCTGGGTTGTGACTTTTGTCTAGTTTCTATTCTACAATACGCGCGTGACTGCCATGGTAACCAGCTGCTCTGCTGGTCAATTAATTATGTCAATGAGTAAAGTCCCCTCTATTTATTATTTCTCACAGCTTGTACATGTATTGTAAAGTGCAATGATATGATAATCAGATCATTATTAATCTTCATCGTGTACATGTAGAGTACATATCACTGCTATTCCGTGTTTGCGTATTGCAGAGTTATCTTCTCTTGTGAGCAGGTATTGAACGTTACGTCATTGGTTTTAGTGAGAAAATTACGTCGTTTTCTCAAAAAATTATGACGTTACTCTCACAATCAAATGACGTAACAATCAATACCTGCTCATAAGAGAAGATAACTCTGCAGTACGCAAACACGGAATTGGTAGCTACAGACAAAATAATAGTGAGCTGTACTAACATAAATGTACTGTTAGTTATACACGTCTTCAAACCTAAACAACGGATGTTTTAGTCGATTGTATGTGCAATTCCTCGTACATTTATAAAAAAAATCATTAATGACAAATGAACGTGTAACGCCATCGTTTTATTTGTTTGCCATCATTTGTCTCATTTAAATATAACGGCGAATTATCCTATTTGGTTGGCATACTGTCCATCATCGATATTTCAAAAATCTAGTCCCTTGTACACTACTATGGAAATCTACTTTATATATCGGGGTTCTTTCATTACAAATGCTTACCTACATTAAATATGAAATGTCATCTGGTATAACATATGTGCCAATGCATTTTGATTAGTTAGTGCTTAGATACTAATGTATTTATATCCAGTTAGTTCGGTATTAGCGTGTAAGACCAGAAGAAAGCGGAATTTGATTCTGTTCTGAAAAAATCATTTCTGTCTTTCTATCTGAAAGGGCTCTCTGTTTTGCAATGAACTGAAAAGTGATTATCAATTGCTGTGTGGGAGAAGTTCAATTGGTGTTTTGTTGACATGCTTGTATTTATATTGTTGAGATTAATCAAACGCTAAATATAATGAAAATGCACTCCATAATATGTAGATTTGTAATTTTGTGATAACAGTTGAATAACATGTGTACCTACGTAACGTCTCGGACCTACAAGAAAAATAACAAAGAAAATCACTTGTATGGCATATCTTGTTTTCAAATATCTTGACAATTTCACAGCTTATTCCATATTTTTACGGGAACAAGATAACCATCTTTTTTGTTACTGTCAATAATGTATTTACATTTTCTCGAATAACGTCACACGAGTGTTATAAACAAACTTTCTTTTTTACTTAAGGCTGTTCCAGGAATCTCGTTTGCTCTTCAAAATCTCTTCAACATCGAAAATTTAAGGAAATACTTATAATAAGAATAACTTAATTTTGAATATAAATATATGGAGTGAACAGCATTTTTCAATTTTCATAACTTATTCGATTAATAATAACAAAATAACCTCTTCCAATACGTAAAAAGTACACATCGTTTAGGAATCTTCTTAGGTTAGATGTTTCCAGTCTTTGATTTCGAAACAACAATTCAATAAATAAAAATTAATGAATCTTTTTATAAAGGCCTACAAACATAACAATATCAACTAAATGTAAACATAACTGTACAATTATATTCAAAAGTAATACAGAACATGCAAAGACAATTGTTTCTAATACTATATGAATTGAGGAGTTCTATTTCTGTCTTCCAGTGATTGACACAATCAGCCGGTGATATATCGTTATCTCTACAATTACCAGACAACAGGTACGATATATTGTCTGTACACACATATGTAGTTTTGTACTTCAACTAATTTATCTTAGATATGTCAATTTAACTGAATTATCTGTAAATTTCTTTCAGAAAGTAATTGTCTATGGAACTCATAGAAATAATCCTTGAAATTCCAGCGGTTACGTAACGCTCCCTTACGTTCTCGGCTCGCCTGGAATATGGCAGGGTAAAATGGAAGGCATGCGGTAACCTATTTGGTTGGTTTCAGGTGAAAAAATGACAAGTCATTACGCTGATACCTGGCAGTTAAAGATTACAAATCAGCGACACCAGACTTCAAAGCAGGTCAATTTTACTACGACCGTACCGCGTGATTATTTTGATGTACATCAAAGGATCAAACATGTCTAATTGTATTATCCACAAAGTGGCGTGTTCAGAGCCTTCGATTTCGTCATGACAAATTTCAGTGATGTAGAGAGCGTAATTGGGCTAAACCCTGCAATTGCGAGGATGCATACAACTAAACATAAAAATACACTTCAAACGAATTTGGCATCGCTCAGGAAAAATTTCGTAAGATATTCAAAATGAGCTTTGGAACAGCATACCTTGACTATAACTTTGTTTAGATTACGTTTAGACACCTTTCTATTTCCATAAAGACTTGATCTGATCTGTTCATATATCTGTTATTGATAACGACTAGATCTGACCTGTTAATATGTATGATATAATCGTTTATGCTTCACCTCATCAGTATTGATTCATTACAAGCACTTAGTGCTACGTTGTATATTGTGCCAAATCAATTCTATGTGCGCTTTTCTACTGTAAGTATGATATGTATAACAGTGTCGTAAGGAACATTGTACAGTTGCCTTGGGTTTTTGTTATTATTATTGCACATTTTTGTTTCGTCGCAACGTTTTATTTGAATAAATGAAAGATAATAACTGATATAATGAATTGTTTTCTTCTCATTTCACAAATTTTAAATGCATAGCTAGCATACACAATACATCTCCAGCACATACGCAGGCATACACACATAGGGAGATATTAAGCCAGGTGACATAGGACTAGTAGTTAGCGCCTGTTAAGGCAGCTCCTGCGAATTCCGCAAAAATTGTATTGATTAATGTACAGCTAATTGTATAAATTGTATATATATGTACTGTAAAGCGCTTTAGAGTGGCTTATGTTTGCTAGATAGGGCGCTATATCAAATGCTGTATATTTATACACAATGATATATGTAATAGCGTGAACAACACGCACGTATAACAGAAGAGTAACTTTGAATAGAATTAAAATCAAACATATAACAATGTTATTTTATAAACATACAAATGTACCAGTATAACGAAAAAATGTCATTGTAAATCTTATATAAACAAACCAGAATAACGATTTTTATTTAGTGTATGTCAGTTTACTGAAAGAATATCCCTTTATGAATACAATGTAGGACAGTATATGTATATCAAGAAAGACAGGTTAAAAATGTCTCTTTATAAACAGGCCCGTGTACCAAAGAATGTCATTGTATAAATGCGATATTAGTTTAAACTTTGTTTTTTTCACATAACATAACATGTAATACAAATATGATTAAACATAAATGAATTGGAGACAGAAACAAGTGTTAATACACTAATATAAATCTGTTGCCTTTCATCGTAACCAACATTATCAACTATAGCTTAGGGATAGTGACGTGAATAAATTACAGGTGAAGTAAGAAGAGAGTGGGGGAAATGCAGTATAAAATATGGTACATGTACAAAAAACGTTATATTCATAAAATCAGTGTATCGTGGTCAAGAAAAATCCTTCTGTTGCGACATCGTTAATACACTTTATGATTGATTTTCATACTGTTTCAACAAATGCATATATATATGCATATACGTAAGATCTAAATAAACAAGCTGCATTATAATGCTAATATAAAATATACTCTATGATAATTATAATCATGTGGATGTTTTTTCCCTACGCAGACAATCGTTGTGATAGACTGTTCACATTCCATACACTATTGCTGATCAATTGTTCGTCACATCCCGTGCCTTAATATGTCATTCTCCTGTTCATTCTTGACCTCCTGGTATATCCTTTCCTACTAGACTGTTTGCATCGGGAAGGACCATCCACATGACTTACTTTACATATGATGTATGTTATTATATGAATACAAAGGTCATTGATTAAGAATCTTATTCAAAGACGTCATAAGATAATAAATCAGAAGTCAATTGATCTATTATTATGTTAGCAACTCAGCTATTTCTTTTTACATATGATCGCACACAAACTTGCATGTATGCATCCCCACACATATCATAAACACATATATCTATCATACATACATACATACACACATACGTACATGTACGTACATACCTACCCACCTACATACATACATAACTTATATTTACTTGCACACATGAAGATATAACATGTAATATGCCAGCATATCAAAAGATAGTCACTATATAAATAGGTCAGTTTACCAAAAGAATGTCCTTTTATAAAAAGGTCAGTATATCAAAAGAATGTCACTTTATAAAAAGGTCAGTTTACCAAAAGAATGTCCTTTTATAAATAGGTCAGTAAACCAAA